AGCAGGACTGAACTTAAAACCCCAGTAATAAGATGGCATGGTCTATTTAGCAATGTTAGGATGAGGCAAAGTGGGAGATGGTCAGTGCTAGTTATCAGACTGTCACTCAGTTTATTGACGCCCTGCTTTAAACCATGACACTTCTGCATGGCTTTTCTGGGTGAACAAGCAATGTGACTGCTTGTGAGCAACTAGACTTTGTGACTTAAGATCAAAACATCAGGTTCATCACATTGATCGCTAATTAAAAGGTATCTCCCTGTCACACTTCAGCCACCTTTGGCACTCAGCAGTGCTTTTGGAAACTATCCCTTTAAAAACCTATGTGTAGGGTGCTTTGGGGGGCTGCTATAAAGGGAAGTAGTGGGTCTTCTAGTATTTTCAGGTTGACCTTACATCAGCAATAAATACAATAGAAAGTACAGAACCAAATTTGACTTGCGTTCAACATGGTGTTTGTAAAAAGGATGATTGGGGTCAACAAAACCACATCTGTCTTCAGTTCACTTAGAACAAATCCCCTCCAATTTTTTTTCCAGTTTGATCTCCAATGCCAGCGGTCTGTGGGTTTGTGTATTCCTACTTGATTTAAAGAGATTCTTTCACTATTCTGCATATGTCTTCCTAGACCAATTAACAATCCTGCCTTTTTCCTGTGGCTTGACTATATTTAAACCAATGTTCTTAGCAAGGGAAGTTCCTAGAAAGTGCAGCGTATGACTGAGCTTTATCCCAAGGTGATATGAGGCAGCCCTGGAGTCCTTTACTGTTACTTTCAGCAGCCATTCTGCAATTAAAAGCTGCTAGTGGAGTTATGTCATGCTCTGAAAGTGTAGAAAAGTAGTGTAGGTGTGGATGGCTCAAACTGCAAAGTCAGGCCTTCAGAAAGGCTTAGGAGAAGACGACAAATGGGCAAAATCATGGCATGTGGCCACTGGAGAAGATCGCTGAAAGGAAACAGGTCTGGGAAAGACAGAGAGGCAAGCAGAAGAATATCACATTAGATTAATTTCGTCTTTGTCTCAGGGCTCCTGGGTTAGAACAGAGCTCGTCTCTTAAAAGCTACACTGCTAATTTATTTGTAAGTGTGAATTTGTGGATTCCTAACATATTTGGCTTCTTTGTCAATAGCTGAAGGCCCTTGGCTTGAGTCTTGACAAGAAGTCCCCTTACTGTTGGCCTGCTTCCATCATCCCTAAAGCAGCATTAATTATTTTTAATGAAGAAATCCTTTCTGCTGCCAAATGACCTTTCTGAGATTCAGTGTGAGCTAGATTTTCCACGTCTTGCTTAGGCTCCAAGATCTACAAATACACATAACCATGAAAGAGATTAGCACAGAGGAAAATGATGTGGACTGGTTCCTAATTCCAGATAAGAAAACTAATTGGAAAGGAGCAATTTACAATTTTAGGGGAGTATAAGACCTCCCCTGGATTTCCGTGACTGAACAACCTACTGCAGTTTCCTAGTTATAAACCTGGAATTGAATGATATTATGTAACTTCTAACTACTCAGCCAATACCTAACACAGAAAAATGAGGGTTTTTTCAATGAGCAGGTGCACTCTGTAATTCCCCTGCATAAGGACATTGCACAGAAGTGATGCATCAGAACACCGTCTCTGACACGATTGGTGTGAACAGCCAAAACCCTATACAAAGTGTGATCAAAATCCTGTGAATAACGAGGTCACATCATGCAGAGGATTGTCCAGTTTACAGGATTAGCTTGAGGACTGCCAGCAATATTTAGGATCTCAGCGGGAAATCAAGGAAGTTATACGCTGTAGTCCAAGCAAATGCAGTATTGTAAGCAGCCACTTCTCTTTGTGGCTGTCCTCCTAGTTGCTGCTTTCTCTCTGAGCCATGTGAAGGTGGGGAAAACGCTGTGTGGAACTGAGTAGGTGACTGTGCCAGGCTCATCTGACCAGCCTTGTGTTCTTGCAGTGGAACTTCCCATTGCTAATGCTGGTCTGGAAGATGGCACCAGCGCTGTGCTGTGGAAACACTTTGGTTATTAAGCCAGCTGAACAAACTCCTCTCACATCGCTGTACATTGGCTCGCTGATCAAGGAGGTAAGGAAATCTGAACATCCCCTCTGGGTACGGTTCTTCTAAGGTCATACGCAAGACGGTATTTTAAATTGGGTGTGTAGGTTTTACGTTTTAAAGATGTTAAAGCCTCACAGAGGAAAGCGAGAGCAACGTCTGCCTTCAGTCTTTTCTTTGGAAGGCCTTCATGACTGGCAGTGGCTGGCTGGGAGGTAGCAAAGATCACAAAACCTGAAGGATTTTCTCCTTTCTCGGGAAGCTACAGAGAGGAAAAATGATGCTTTTACTCATCTGTCTTGTCTTCCCTTCTCCCAAATGAGGGAAAGACTACAACTCGGTTTTATTAGGCAATGGGACAAAAAAGAGTGTGATTAGACAGCAGTGTTGTGTTTGTACCATTTCTAAGTGGGATAATTCAACCAAGATGGAGTGCCATGGGAAAAAATTCTTCTGAATTTCTGCGGTTCGTAGAACAAATTAGCTATGTCTGGCCTGTAAAGCCAACTCAATACTGACATAAAGGGAAGATCATAGGTTGGGGTTTCAAAATGTTAGTTTAGGGCTTGCCAGGTAGGATCTGAGCTGCCCTCAGATCTGTTAATCATACGGAGCTGGTGGGGGGTGCACAGTACCTTCCAGCACTGGTCAGTACGTCAGCTTCCTGTATCTGTGTATGTGACTAATTGTAAGGAAAGCTAAAAGTGTTGTAGATGTGCTTTTGCCTTTCAGCTGGAAAAGTCTGTTTGTTAGGCGCAGTCAAATGATAATGATGATTTTGTCGGTTCTTGGCTTAGCCTGGGAGAAAATAGAAGGATGCATTAATAATTGACACTTAGGGCTCTTCCGTCAGGAAAGGCAGTGCAAAAATACTACCGGTTAAGTATCTCCTGCAGTTAATTGACTTCATAAGACTACACAAGACAAATGAGCATAGGGTGCAGTTTTCATGACTTGTAGTTAGCCTTGCCACACCACTGCTTTTTTTCACTCTGACATACAGCTCCCCCACCACAGGCGTAGCATTCCCCCCAAAAAGCCATTCAATTCTGATGAAATCAATTTTTTTAGCTGAAACTCTAAGCTGCCTGTTTCTCACAGTTGCCCTCCAAGGCAGAAGTGTAATTAGAGCAGAATAATTTTATTTGAAGATGCTCCTTTCTCCACCCAAAATTAGCTAAATTCTTTGCAGTTTTTCAGAAGAATAAGTTAAACGTTTTTTTTTTTCCCCCATCTTCAAAAGCATGCAGAAGATGTGAACACACAAGCAAAGCTATGTGTTAGGTTCAATGAAATAATTTTGGGCCAACAAAAATATTTAGGCTTTCTTTTTTGCTGAAAAACAGAACAAACTTTCTGGCTCGGGGTGATCTGAACCAATTTTTTTCTTCCTTGTGGCTTTACTGCTGACTCCAAACACCATTACTTGCACAGTTTGACATGCAGAATTTTCATGAAAACTCATTAGCCAAGATGCAAACTCTATTAAACTCACTTTTATCATTGTCACATCCATAGAAGAAATCATACTGCCCTTCCAATTCATGAAAAGAAAAAATAGGAAAAAAAATCCTTTTAAGATAATTTTTTGCAAGATACTACATGAGCAATTACTTCTATTTTTTTCTGTATTAGGAAGGAGCAACTGCATTTATTGAGATTTTATATTAAAAAGCCACAAGAAATGAAGTGAACGTTTAATATCCTGCAACTCCATTGTTAGAAAATGCAGGGAAAACAACCTTGTGCAATCAGTAGTAGGGGAGGGCTAGCCTAGCAGAGCATAATCCTTGAAACTCTTGTTTCAGGATATAAAAACAGACGAGCAAGTGCCGCACTTCTCCTCGCACTAGAATTTCACCTAAAGTTTTGCCGTTTGTCTCTTTTGGCAGAATTACTAGTTGGCTAATCTAGGTTGTAAATGTGGTGGAAACTGGCATAAGGCTGTTACCATCTGCTCTTGTATTCCTCTTTTATTAGCCCCATCATCTAGTGAGGTTTTACTGACTTCTTAATCCCTCTGGCCCCTGAAGAACCACAAATGTCAACCTTTGTTCAAAACAAACTTTCATTCAGTTACCCCTTGGCTCCAGCTGCACAGCAGTAGCTGGGGGCCAAGTTTGGCCAAAAGACTCACTCTCTTTTGCCTTGAAACTGGGACTCCTCCAAGACTTCTTGCTGAAACTTGGCATTTCCTAAGCATGGCTGTTACTTTCACCCACGTCTACTCCAGCTGGTAGTGCGCAGCCATGTTACTGGGAAGTCTAGAAAACAGTGATGTATCTGGTCTGGGCTCCTTGTTTGCAGCTTGCAATTCTTAATTGCAAAGAATATAGGGCAACTAATTCAAGCTTCCTGAGAATGGAACTGCACTCTCAGGAGTCAAGATCAGCTCCAGAGTGCTCAAAATCTCTCTCTACAGAGCTGTGTTTACCCTCTGTTTTAGGTGGGTTTCCCTCCAGGTGTGGTGAACATTGTGCCAGGCTACGGCCCCACAGCTGGAGCTGCTATTTCTACCCATCACAGCATTGATAAAATTGCTTTTACTGGATCAACAAAGGTAGGTGATGGATTTCTGATAAAACACCTGCTGTTCCTCTTTGCATTCTCTTCTCAAACTGTCATCCATGTAAGACTGGACCAATGACATATCGGTGATTTCTGTATAGCCCACACCATTTTCCGTCACATTCCGTGTGACTGGATTTCTCAGAAGTGTTTGGGATTTGTCTAGTTCAGGTCCTTCTGCATGTGATAATGCCACATCTCTGTAAGATGGGTTTTGCCAAACTGCCACATTTCTGTAAGCACTGTAAGTAATAGATGCTCTGACGTAAGGTATGACAGTCCACAGGGGAGGCTGGAAGTGACTTTACATCATGTCATTGGCCCGATGGAGCTTCTGGGCAACTTTGCCTGCCAGTCCTGCCCTTCAAGCGTGTGCAACTGGAAAACATGTCAGTCAGAGCCATGAACAATTCCTCCTCGGCTTTAGTTACCTCTGAGGAACTAGGACTTAAATAAAAACATGGCCCCATGCCCGAGGCTGCTTCTGCTGACGTGGATGGGATTAGCATTTGAGCTTCTTTTGAGACGTGCACAGTAAGGCACCTTCTATTCATTTTTTTTCCTGTAAATAGCTACAGCTGCCTTGCTTAGGAGAGGGGTGGAAGTGAGACCTCTGTACTGTCAGACACCTACGGCCGTTCTCTTCTGTACCTCCATGGGGGAAAGGAGCCCACGGCTTGGCCTAGTCCACAGAATTCAGCACAGCTGTGGCGTGCGAACAAATTTGTCTCCAGTAATCACTGCTGCAAATCCTCAAAACAAAAGCTTGCTTAGAAATGTGAATGTTTTTCCACTCACTGCTCTAGATTTTTCTTGCAGTATACACGCACCCCCAGAAGAGGGGCAGCGTCCAAATAATGGAAATGCTGACACCAGTGGGTGCAGTTGAGGCAAATATGGTCTCTTCACTTTTATTTCCTTGGGTAACGTTATTCTTGCTCGGCATTTGCCAAATTCATCCATTCTTATACCTATCCTCATCATTGCAGAGTGTGATCTAATTGCATAATGACGGCACATTACCTTGAATGATGCTCTTGGTCTGTAAAGGTAACTCACTGAACACTCCGAAGCTGCTGAATTTAACAACAGTACCATCTAGTGGCTTTGTGTACATGCTAACTGCTGCGCCTATCCCACAGGAGAAGGTGTGTTAAGCCTCCGTGTCTGCTTAGGGGTCATGGGAACAAGCACAAACGTAGTAAAGTAAAAGTTCACAATGAGCTTTTACTCTCTTGATAGCTGGTCTAATCTAGGAGTTTACCCAGATACATGCTTCTCCAAATCCTAGATCAGGAACTTTTAGCCCAGATTAGGTGTTGGCTGTGTGAAAACAATAGAGTTTATAGACTCATCCAGCCCACGTGGGTCTGTTTGAGTTTTTAATGAAAAAGGAGTATCCAGTGGATTAGGGGCAAGAGGAAAATCTCAGCTGCTGGAGCCTGTAGGCAAAAAATTTCTATAGGCGCTGTGCTTGTCTTCCTAATCCATGGGTGTGCAGGAAACACCGAGGGAGACAGATTCTTTGCTAATGCATATGTAATTTAGAAGTGTTTTCTTCCCCCTCCACCCGTCTGTGAGATCAGCTGCATCTCTGCAGTATTTGCAGCATAACGCTACTGTTTCTGAGCCAGGAAGTGAAGCTAATTCAAAATACATTTTAACTTCGTTTTTAAGCCCCAGCTCGGGGTCAGTGCCAGCCTGGAAATACTGATCTTAAACTCTATGAGAATTTTCCCATCTAGATTTCTTCCTTTCTCTTTGTTTATTAATTTACTCCTCTTTGGCCAGCTAGTTTGTGGTAGTGCCTCTTGCAAAGCTATGTGTATCTGCAGCACGATGCATCACTTCTTTCTGCTGTCTCTAGGACTAGGCTACTAAATGACTAAAGGTGACCTGCACTGCTAGGTTCAGGAGTCTTGCTCGAGTTGCAAAGGCAAACCATGAGAAATGCAGAGCTATAACTGCCAGCCAGCTGCCACGTGCTTTCCTTGCTCACAGGTCTACTCCAGGGCAACAGCGTTTGCAGGCAGAAATGAAGTTAAGATTGCCATATGCAAAGATAAAATACAAGAAAACCAGTTACAAAATGAGGAAGCTCATATATAAGATCACACTTTAAAAAATATCCTGCCTTAACAATTGAAGCTCCCAAATAGTTTTAACTCGTACGGTTTCTTACAGAGTTAGATTAGTAAATGATTCTGATGCTTGATTTAAGTTCTTGTGAGGAATTCCATTTTTTAAAACAGAAGGAGAAATTGCTGGTTTGATGTTACCAGTATGAAAAAGAAATAGCACAGTCAGATTTGGGGGAAAACATTTTATAAGAAGAAACTTTTCTGGGGGAAAAAAAGCCTTAGTTTGATATTACTTTGATTAAATTCTGGAAGCAGATTGAATCTTTCCCTTCAGGAGAGGGTGGCCAGATAAATTCCACCAGATGTTCCGAGCAGGTTCCTGGGCAGCAAGTGCCACAGCAGAGCTAGACACAGTTTGTCTGTTGACATCCTCGAGTATTGCCTTGGAAGGAACATGTCTCAGCTACTCTTGTGTGTGGAGCAGCTCAGCCTAAACTGTCAGAAAGAAGTAGTTTTCTTCTAAATGTCAAAATCTGTACATGGCTTTCTGGTATGGGAGCAGTAACAGATAGGAACAGTGAGTTTTCATCATTGCCCTCGCAAGACAGTTGAATTCCTCTAAGAAGCTGAATTCCCTGTTGTTGAAAGTAAAACTCACAAACCTTGGCACCCCATTGATTGCCAGTGTTGCTCACTAGCTTGCACTGGGTGGGAAATGCCCTGTTCTGCAGCTCTGGGTAGCAGATAACTGCAGGATACAGTTCCTATAGCTCTCACATAGCCCACTGTTTCAGATCTGCCTAAATCAGACATCAATTCTGAGGCTGGTTTTGACCCAACACACCACAGCAGTAGGAAATTCGAATAATTTAAGAATTAAATTCTTAAAGTGAGGCCTCATCTGGAGTACTCTGTCCAGTTCTGGGCTCCCCAGTTCAAGAAAGATGAGGAGCTACTGGAGAGAGTCCAGCGGAGGGCTACGAGGATGGTGAGGGGACTGGAGCATCTCTCCTACGAGGAGAGGCTGAGGGAGCTGGGCTTGTTCAGCCTGGAGAAGAGAAGGCTGCGAGGGGACCTTATAAATGCTTACACATATCTGAAGGGTGGGTGTCAGGAGGATGGGGCCAAGCTCTTTTCAGTGGTGCCCAGCGACAGGACAAGGGGCAATGGGCACAAACTGAAGCACAGGAAGTTCCAGCTGAACACGGGGAAGAACTTCTTCCCTCTGAGGGTGACGGAGCCCTGGCCCAGGCTGCCCAGGGAGGTTGTGGAGTCTCATTCTCTGGAGATATTCAGGACCCGCCTGGACAAGGTCCTGTGCAGCCTGCTGTAGGTGACCCTGCTTCGGCAGGGGGTTGGGCTGGGTGACCCACAGAGGTCCTTCCAACCCCGACCATTCTGTGATTCTGAGATTCTGTGCTTCTGTTATCCCTGACTTCTACCTGCTTCAGCCACCCGCCAAGCTCTTCTACCTGTGTTAACATTACACTTCACACCCTGAGTTAAGACTTTCAGGGGAAACAACTAATGTTCTCTTTGTGTCTCAATGCTGCAGGTTGGAAAACTGATCAAGGAAGCTGCTTCTAAAAGCAACCTCAAAAGGGTGACATTAGAGCTTGGAGGGAAAAACCCCTGCATTGTGTGTGCAGATGCAGACTGTAAGTATTGGCTGCTGTGTATATTTGCAGTAAGACACGAGGAGTGTGGTGCTTTTGCGTGCCTCTGCTGTCCTTTGGCAGCTAGCAGGGCTGGTGTTTGCCACCACGTCCACCCCAAAGGCTGGAGGAAACCCCTGTCCAAGAGCAGAATGCAGTTCTGCTTCGCTGGACCTCTTGCCCAGCACAGGGACCATTCCCACGCTGAATGAGCAGACTATTGTACTGTTACCTTCTCTGGGGATGGCTGCAGTTGCAGATAAATCTTGCATTTTTGTGTTTCTGCTGTCGTGGTGCCTTCTTTTTGGTTGGCGGTACTGCAGAGCCTGAGCCAAGCAGTGAGGAAAGCAGTTTTCTAAAACGAAGCCACTCTGCAGGTGTTCCTGTGATGGCAGAGTTTTGTAGGACCTGATCTAATCCAGCCTTCACCTCTATCCTGGGGGTCTGCAGCACTTGTTTCACATGTTCTGTTGTGATTTTGTTGCATTAGTGAGTAGCGCTACGTAATACATGTAACCCATAGACCACCAAAGCGGTTGGAAAATCCTGTTTGGCTTGGGGAAAATACTCTCCACTTTCCTGCACAGCGCAGCAGAGGTTGAAAGCCAGAAGTATTTGTGCCATCTGCTAACAGTGAGCATTGCAAGGACCTGTACAACAGCAAGGCACACTGCTTTTGAAACAGTCGCTGCTGAAACTAGTCTTCAGGAACCAATGCGTGGTATCTAGGAATCCACATCCAAATTCCCACAGCGAGGAAACCTGGTTGCTGCCCTTACTGAGTCCTTGTGGAAGAGAGTATCAGGGGATATGGCAGACTAGACCTTGAGGTAAAAGGCAGGAACGGGGGTGGAAATAAGAGGACATCTGGTTTGGGGGCAGTATGAGGTCTTGTGAGTGCCCTCAATGGGTGTGGACCATTGTCAGTGTTTTTAAGGAGGCTTTCAAATGAGAAAGGGAAAAACAAGTCTGGAAACACTGGAAGGCTGAAACTGTGCATGTGGTAACACTTTTGCCTCCTGGGCTGTGTTGCAGTGGACTTGGCAGTGGAATGTGCCCACCAAGGTGTGTTCTTCAATCAAGGGCAGTGCTGCACGGCTGCCTCGCGAGTGTTTGTAGAGGAGCAGATATACCCAGAGTTCGTCAAGCGCAGCGTGGAGTATGCCAAGAAGCGACTCGTTGGAGACCCCTTTGATGCCAGAACTGAACAAGGGCCCCAGGTAAGTGTGTGCCTGAGAACCGTTGTTGTTTGGTTTTTGGTTGTGTTTTTGTTTAATTTTCCTTATGTAAATATTATCCTTGTGAATACAGTCCCAGCAGAAGCACTGAGGGGTGAGTAATGTATCACGGCTTTATTTTTCTATTTTAAATACCAATTAATCACAACTGTTGAAATGTTGTGTTGTAATTTTTTTAAACACAAATGTATTTAATTCACTCCTTATCCAGCTTTATGGAAGAGGCTGTCTCCCTGGTACAGTAATACAAAGCAGGTTGCAGTGAACAATAGCAACGTGCAGAAGAGTGCAGCTGCAGAAACAGCCATTCAGCTGCTTGGCTGTGTTGGTGATGACAAGTAGCTAGAGCCCACGGATGCCTGAGTCCCCACTTTCCCTCTTCTGCTTTGCCCCCTTTCTGATCCTTTGGAGAAGTTTCAGCTGAATTAGGAGGAAGGGCCATGCCAAGCATGCTGTCATGACCAGCCTTGACAATGCTTCCATAGCCTTCCTCTTATTTTTTCCTTCCAAAGCACTCTGAGCTGTGGTGGAGAGCTCTGGAGGCAGATGATCTTTGGGTCAGATCTTCTAACAGGGCCACCGTTTGCTACCGAAAATAAAGGGGGAATCCCAGAAACCTATGGCCTAGGCCTCCTGTTCTCAGTACTGCAGTGTGAGTTTTTCTTCCTTGACGCTATGTAGGATCCCCTTATCTGGATCTAGACCCATTTACACATGGCCTATGCATGGCAAAACCTCATTGCATGACCTCATGCATAGGGAATAAAGTGATGCACATCCTCGTTCATGCTGGGGCTGCATCTCTCCCTGTAACTTGCCTAGAAAGAGATTTCAAACTGCTCAGGAAAATAATCCCATACTGGACTTTGCTTCAGCAGAGATGAGCTGACCCTCAAACCATTTCAGGGTCTGCTCTTACCTTCTGTTAAGGGCTCTCAGCTTTTCAGGTTGGTTGGTTTGTTTGTTTTACTATAATACCATCCTAAACCCTACCCAGCAGTAGCAGTAAGTGAGCTGCATTTATAGTTAGTTCTGTCAGGATCTTGTTCACCTGGCTGCTCTGACAGAGACCATTGATTTCAAGAGAATGGCAAGCAAAATCATAGGGAATAGTTGTGAGGTTTTAAGGGGCACAATGCTCTGCAGGGAGCAGAACATGCAGAACTGGGCTGTTTATTATGGTTCATCTATGCTCCCAGCTCTTGCTAGGTGGTCAGAGCACTTCCCAGTGAGCACTATGGCAGAGCACCATGTTCTGATATCCCTTCTGCAGCTTAAGGGAGATGCTTTGCATACAGAGCTGTAATTAAGGGTAACAGTAAGTCGGAATAGCAGTGTCTGATCAGATTTTAAATATGGCCCATCTGTCCTCTTTCCTTGTTCTGGCTTACCTGTTACACGTGTAGCAAGGAGAGATGGCACACACACACCTGAACTTCTCTGCATGCAACAGTCAAGCCTGAGATGGAAAGGTGTTGAGAGAGTGGGAGGAAACTCTTAATCCCAAAGCTTTCATGTGGCTGCCAGTGCAAAGGAACAGCCGCTTCCTCTGCAGCTATGGTTGCTCACTCTCTGGAGCCCATGCTGTAAGATACAACACAGAGGAGTTCAAGCAGAAGAGAGAATTGATGCAGTGTCACAAGGGCTTAAAATATCTCCAAAGGTAGTAAAGATTCACACCTGCCCACAAGTTACTGTTCGAATGCGAAGCTTCCAGAACAAATTTTTTCTCTGTTCCTGAAGTAACCTGCTTTGCTGTGAGGGCTTTTTTATCTTGAACTGATGGGTAAGGGAAAATCACCAGAAAAAATAATCTTTCTTCTTCATCTCTCCCAGTCAGGCCTCAGTTGCTTCAGATCCAGGTCATTGCTTTCATTCTCCTTCTGTGTGGGTGAGGGTAAACATATACAACAGCATTAAAAAAATGGCCACATGCTGCTGTGTAGACCCCATTCTGGGATGATCACTGGCTTAAAAGCCAACAGTGGGCAGGAGTTGGAGCCAGCCTTTAGGCTGACAGTGGTCACAGCACATGATCCTTTTGGTCCTACATTGGCTCCAAGTGCTTGTAGTCAGACAACAGGACCTCCAATTGAACAATAGAGAGTTCAGAAAGTCTGAAATAGGAGAGCCTCTGCAGTCCAGAGTTTGAGCTAGTGCTCCGTGAAACCAAGCCACACCATGGCTGAGCACAGTGCTCGATGTAGCTGCTGAGACAACCTGGTGTAGGACAGCGTGGGGTGACAGGCAGTACTGTTCCACCAGAACTTAAAGTTGATGTAAGCCAGTCCTGGAAAGGTGGTTCTGTCTGCAGCTCTTTGTTCCTGTGTTGCACTGCACTTGTGAACTAGACTTGGTAACTGGCTGATTCAAGTCTAATCCAGCCTTTCTGAAAGTGAGGGAGAAAGGTTTTACTCAAGTCAGTTCCCTTCTGTGGATTACTGTGCACTGGCATGGATGCTCGTGGCATGGATGTGGGGAAAAGACGGTGTCAGCTGCAATATTGAGTTATGCTGATACAAACTACAGTGCTCTGATCAAAATTAGGTCAAATTTAAACAGTATTCAATTTAAACAGAAATGAGGCATGCTTCTGATGAGACTTCTCCAAAACTCACATGTGTCTGACTGTTGGCTGGCTGGAATTCAAAGGACACCACAAGAAACCTGAGGGGTAATCAGGACTGTTTGAGCAGAGTGCCAACCTCAAATGCAGATCAAGGGCATTTTTTAACTTTGAATTCCAGTGAGCTGTATCATAGGAAGTAATAAAGTAAATCTGCACAGATGGCAAACTGGATAACCAGTGCATTATACAATTGTGAACAGCAGACTGCGTAAGATGAGACTGACGTCCTGGTGGACTAGAACAGGGATTAGATTACAAGACTGGACTAGTTTTGTTACTGTAGAACCCCAAATACTGGGATTTGTGGACTATAAGGCCTGGTCTACAGGAAGGAAATAAGCACTAAGGCTGCCTCGTGGCACTTGCTAGCTGGAAGTTTTTCAGCCCAAAACCTATTCTTTGATTTTTAAGATGGTGAATATTTTCCTTAGGCTGTAGACATTTGTGTACATTAGGATTAAAGCCTGAAAGTAAAATATGTAAGTAGAAAGGGTGTGTGTCCAATAGTCAGTTGGACACAGTTGTGGGGTTATTCTGTAGGATTACAAATGCTAGGTTTGGGAAAGCAAAAAGTGCTCCTTGCAGTCTTGACTTAAATGAAGCAAGGTACGAAGATTTGGGAACTTTCAGATTTTTTAGCATTGCAGTGATCCTTAGAAGCCTTCCTCTCTTTTGAATTAGATAGACAAATAGTAGAATTTGCTCTAGCAGATCATGTGTTTTTAATAGAAGTCAGTGCTTGAACCATAAATAATAGTGGAGTAGGGGACAGAATTTAAACAAGCCTTGCAAGCTCTAGTTACAATGACAAACAGTTCCGCCCTTGCATGTCATTTTTACAAATGTTTTCTTTCCCCAGTGTCTTTTCATCTAACTATAGTTTGCCTTGCAACAAGTTACAGCTGTATAAATATCCTTGTTTTGTTTTCTGTGATGTGAAGTGGATGGACTGGATTGGTCTGGATCACAGACATGCCAGGATGGAAAGCACTTGCAGATATTTTCAAATTATTTACATTTGGCAACTAAGCAACCGGACAAATAGACAATATGTATGACACCTGCCAAACTTACTATGTGATGCTCTGTATCCTACACGAGGGCACACGTTGCCTTGTGCAGCAGCATGTATCAAGTGTTTTCTTGGGTAGCATCTTAATGCATGAGAGAACATGAGCACTTGGTACAAGCTGTCCACAGCGCATGTGATACACACATCTGTATGGCAGCAGATGTGCTGTTCAGTATTTTCTCTGTGTACCAGAAGTACCCCAAGGACACCCTCCTGAAGCTTTGATATTTGTCTAAAGGCATGAAAACTTGGATTGCGTGTGGCCAGGATTAACTAGGGACAGGATATAGTCCGTAATCTGGAGGAGTGGAGTGTGGAACACTCCATGTAAACAGTTCCAACTGGCAACTGGCCCTGCTGAAAGAAAAACAGATGCCTAGGGAGGGGTATTGAACCAGTACAAGCATCTGGAGATACCTGGCATCCAGAATAACCTCCCAGCCTGCCAGGGCACCTTGAACCAGTGGGTAGAGTCTTTTATTTAATGGATTTGTTGAGGTTTTTGTTAGTTTTACTTTTTTTTAAATGTCTTCATAAGTCTTCTACCATCTGCAGCATGCTGTGGTGAGGTGTTTCATCCCTTAATTATGTATCATGTGAATAGCCACATCTGTTTGAAACCTGACAATACCTGCAGTACACTGCTGCATGTGGAGCACAAGTGAAGGACCGTACTGATGGGAAGGGCTTTGGGCTTCCACACCTCTTCCCAGCACATGACCCACTGTGCTTGTGGAGCACGTGATGTCTCCTTTAAGTCTTGGTGCGGGGCTGCAGAGCCGTGTGATTTCAGTGTCCTATGAGTGGACTGGGCTTTCCCCACCTCTACGTAAACCCTTAGTTTAAAGGCTAGTAACACAATAGTACTCGCTATTTGAGTTTACTGCATATTTAGGTGTGGGTGGGGAGGAGTTAGACAAGGTTGGTAATTAGACGTGAGGATATGGCTCCCAGTCTAAAGAACATAAAATGCTGGGACAGAACTGGTCTCTAAGATCTGTGAAAGGTGATTCTGATTTTAAAGTATGGCTTCAGCGCAGTAGTTGTTCTGAAGTCACCACGTTAAAAGAGCTTATCTTTGAGGCTGTTCAAGTAGCTTGCATGTGTGGAAAGAGGTGGAGACAGAGCTCGCCAGGTTCTTCCAGCACATTACAGCAAAGTTGACTTAATAGTCTATATACCCTGATTCTCCCTCCCTTACACTGATTCTGTTGCTGGTCAGATCCTTTGTTGCGTTGACTGAGGTTGCTAGCCCAGCAAAACCCATCTCAGGCTGTTCTCACGGTGCTGCTGAGCTAAATCAGTGCATGGAGCAGCTCAGTGAGTCCCAGAGCTGGAGTGAGGCGAGCCGTGGGAGTGCATATCCAGGATGGGGAGGAAAGAAAAGTGGGGAGACCCCCTCCATGTGTCAGCAAAATATAAGATCAGATGAACTACCACATGTGGCTTCACCTTCTGTTTTCTGTGGCTCAGGGCTATGCCCACGTCCTGTCTTTCAGCCTGCTTATTGCCTGACTGCCATATCATGGAATGAGACACAAACTTACCTGGTCTGACAGTGCCCTGCCCATGTGCCCCTGGGCCACATACCATGACTCCGGTCTCTGGAACAGTGATAATAAAGGTGCTGCTGTCGGTTTCTTTTCCTTTTTTATCTGACAGATTGACCAAAAACAGTTTGATAAAATCCTGGAGCTGATAGAAAGTGGGAAGAAAGAAGGGGCCAAGCTGGAGTGTGGGGGTCTTGCCATAGAAGACAGAGGCCTGTTTATAAAACCAGCTGTGTTTTCGGAGGTCACTGACAACATGCGTATCGCCAAAGAAGAGGTACAGTACAAGTAACCTAAACCTTTATAGGCATATACTACTGTAAATGGGAAGGAGAAGAGGTATGGTCATGGCTTGAAGTGAAAACCTGAGAGGAGAATAGAAATTTCACTTATTTTACTTATTTCAGTGACCTAACAACAGCCTAATACTGAAATCCATTCTACTAATGAAGTATCTGCAAGGTGAGCTTTAACTTGGAGTGTATGTGCGTGGGGAGCAGAAGTATGAGAGGAGGAGGAGAGCAGAACAGGAAAAAAACTGTCAAAATGTTTCAGCAGCAATTTTTGTGCAATTAATAGGTCTCTGTTTGCCAGCCCTTTCTAATGCCTTGCTGCTTTCCCTCATTTGGTTTGGTTTTCCAAAAGGGAAGTAGCCCTGTGAGTGTACTCACTGGACAATAACAAACCCAGATAAAACATAGTAGATAATACTACCCTAAAGCTTTTGGGTCTCATTTCAGGAGAACTTTCTATAATGCAAAATACAAGCACATGCCTTGCCTATATACAGCTGCTATAAATGCTGCTTCTGAATAAAAAATAGTAGTGATGGAGGCGTTTCTGTCGGAATCCTTCATTTTAAATACAAATAACTGAATAAAAATAACTTAAACTGTGGCAGGCTGGAGCAATTCTACCTATTCTTTGCCCTGAAGTTTGAAGGTTTTCTGAAGACAGAGTTAAACTCTCCCACTCTACGCAGATGGATGGTTGTGCGTGCTGTGTTCTCTTACACACCTCCTACTGAGTGGACTTGAAATTGCTCAGCTGTGGTACACGCTGACTCAAAGCGACAGAGCACAGTATAACGTGTGTTCTTGCTCCACTACTTTGTAAAAAAGGAGTTGCTTGATTGCAGAAAGGTGGGACAAGAACTCTGGGACCTGAAGCTGGTAAGGAGGGAAGGAATGGCCCTGCTGTACTGCTACTGAAGAACTTCTCTCAAGCAGCCTTAGCATCTGAAATAATCCTAGATTCTGTTCTCATGGTGAAATCCCCTGAGGCTGACCATTTTTTTCCTATACGAAAATGTGGTCAAAGCCAGCAAAGTGCAGATCTAATACTCTGGCTTTCATTATTCATATGCAGAAAAATTGAACAATCTGCATGTGATTAGATCATGTGATATTCCTTTGAAATAGAAGTTAATCTACTTTTCATCATGTTTCCCAGTGGAAAATAAGTAGTTGCCAAAGTCACACTGGCACTTGTATTTTGCATTTTCGCCTAGTGCTTTTTATGGGCCTGCTTACTGTTCACTCCTGGCAAAATGTTTAGATGTCTCAGATCTGCCACAGAATCTCTAAGGAACCTGGGAGAGATATCAGTCAGTCTGGGCATGAGTTACAGTCTAAAAATATAAGGAATAGGAGCCGAAAATCCCATGACAGGCCTTTTTCTAATGAACTGACTTCAAATCCCAAGTCATGACCTGTGAAGCTTATCCAGTTTCATTCATTTGCAGTTTTGTCGCAAATGCACGTTCATCCTTTGCCTAGGATCAAGGCTCCAGTTCAGTACCTGGATCTCCCAAAACAAAGACATTTAGAAATGCCTGTATGAGCCTAGAGGCCAGGCAAGCTGCTTAGCCTGCTCAAGGCAGCACAAGTGAGACTGTCTCACCTTGGGGGGGGTTATTGTACTGCAAGACCATGCGGGCCAGAGAAGGGCCCCACCTTTGGTACGGTACTTGATGAGAGACTCTATCCCGGAAACTGGGAAGTATTGTGTATCCCGGCTGCCTTTAAGCTGGCAACCTGGGAAGCCAAGTTTGTGGTCAAACACATGCGTGGTAAATGCACTGCACGCAAATAAACTGCGTACAATGACAAAATCAGAGTTAAAACCAAGCAAGAAAACTTGCAGTCTTTGAAATATATTAATTACTTCTTGAGCATACTCAACTTCTGAGTTCAAAAGGAGAGTTGTAAATGGAGTAAGGATGAATCATTTGAAAGTTGTCCAGACCTAACTCTGTTTATTTTGATTGTTATAGAATATCCGTTAGTTGTTGGATCTGAGCATGCATTAACTACTATAGCACATCACTATACTTCCTTTGAAGTCAGTTTAATTAGTAGTTTTTAAGAGACTCTATCAGTGACTTCTGGAAGACTAGGATACAACATTTTAAATATAGTATCCAAACAAAGTATCTGATTCTGATTACTTCAAAATTACCATGATTAGCAAAGGCTTTCCTGTACTAATGTTTAATTGATACATGCAGATTTTTGGGCCAGTTCAGCCAATTATGAAGTTCAAGAGTATAGAAGAGGTCATAAGAAGAGCCAACAGTACCGAGTATGGACTTACAGCTGCAGTGTTCACCAAGAATCTGGACAGAGCATTAACGCTGGCTTCTGCATTGCAATCAGGAACCGTCTGGTAAGCAGTGCGGGACCAGAGTGTGGGGTGGGATTTTGCTTCCTGGGAGGGGAGAGGGATGTATGATTTGGAATCATGTGTAAGTGCTGGGTGTAAGATGTATTAGTAGTCTGCTTAATTCTTTATATGCTGCTCAGAAGCAACATCCGTTCATCAAAATCAGGCAGTGAGGGCCAGACAGTCTGGCGAGAAATGGACTGTTTGTTCGTTCACCTGATGTAGTCCTTCATCTGGAAGACTCTGAAAATGTAAGGGTTGTAGTAAGTTCCGCCAGACATGGTGCATTTCAAAATCCCTTACATAGAAGAAAGCAATTCTTAGGATCTTTGGGTAGCATCAGATGGGGTCTTAGATGCACAAATCAGTATGGACAGTAGATGGCATTACACCACTGTCAGAAAGATAAGTAGCTGGTTGCTTACAAGATTTCTTCTTTTCTATCAACATCGTTTTAAAGATGGAATCCTGATTTTTTTTTTACCCAAACAATTTGATCTGATGTCTGATTTTGATGCATACAGAGGCTTGATTTCAAGAGCTGGCACCAGAATAATCTGCCTCTGAGTAATACATAAAAATAGGATGTTGGGCTTTGAAGGATACATGTGTTGTACGTACATGAAGGCATAGTCCTACAGCACCAAGCCATACCTGTCCTTCTTCAGTCATTTGATCTTACTGAGATGCTGAGGAAGTATCTGCATTAGCTTTTTCTACCTAGAGTCTATAGAAATGAGTCTGGCGCTTTCATTTTACTGCAACACAGTTGTCTAACGCAGTCCGACTTTTTTCCATACCTGGAAGTGGACAGTGAGGCCTGCTTGTGAGTGTTTAGACAGCTTTCTGAGTAAACACATTCATTTCATAATGTGCTTCATTAAACTAGGGAATAGGTTGGACTATTTTAAGCAAGGCTGTGAACACAGCATAAATCCCAGCTCAAGCATGAATGTCTTAGCCATGAGAGACTATGAAGTGAGATGTAGCTCAGACTGACTACCACTCAAATGTTCTGTTTCTGTAGCAAAATAAGATTTTATTGCTAAAATCTAATTTCTCAAGCGAACGAACTGTATAAAGAGAAAACTAATAGATTTCAGCCTTTTTTATATTGTTGTTGTCGTCGTCTTGCTTCTCCTTGTTATTGAATTGTCTTTTTACAATTGATGTTTTTATTGTAGGATCAACTGTTACAATGCGCTCTATGCACAGGCTCCTTTTGGTGGCTTTAAAATGTCAGGCAATGGCAGAGAACTGTAAGTTGTGCTCAATGTTTTGTTTACGTGTGGATGATGAATGCAATAACAATTGTGACTCTGATGAAATATTGTTGAATTTGCTTTTAAACTGTCAGGCCTGCAGTATGCTGCACAGGGAGGTGCTAAGCCAGTACAGCACGGATGTAAAGCACAGATGTGAGAATGTGAGCGGTGCCTTTAGGAGTACCTTCATCTGCTTTATAAGCTCTTAATAACTCCACTTCAGTCAATTCCACTTGCAAGCATTTTTCCTTACTAGTTAGGTTTTTAGATCAAGGGAGAAGTACGGCACCTTGGCTGAGGACACTGGACCCAAACCTCCTCCATCTTTATATGGCTGTAGCTGGGCCTCCCTCGGCTGCTGGACCATTGCTCCTAGTTGGACCTCTTCTCACCTCTGACTCTCTGATGTTGGAGCTAGAACAACAAGGAATGATCTCCAAAATCATTCTACCTTCCAACGCTGCTACTAAATGACAGAAGGACCCGCTGTCCCTCTTCCCCAGCCTGACCTGTTGCAGCACGACTACCAGACATTCCAGCTCTAATTAGTTACTAATGCAGAAATTTTTAAACCAAGCTCACCCTGTAACTTAGAGGTAGAGCTGAGAAGCTGACTTAAATCTTCATTTTCTTCTTGTATAGGAGAGAGGCATGTTTTATTACACCATTCAGAAAACTCTTCAGAGGAATCCAATGTACCTTTTCTTTCACAAGCCAAATTTATTCCCAGGAACTGTTTCCAGTAGCTGGTCTGGTGCATCTGCTGCTCTGAGATGCCTCAGATGCCTCACTTGCTAAGCACAGAAAATGAATGAATCCTCAGATGGGACGTATATATTGAGACCTTCTGGTTTACTTTGCCTGACTGCCTGGCTCATTAAAGGATGTCAGGGGTTTGTCGCTTGGGCACGGCATAGGAATACAGCCAGTTTCCACCAACCAAGATAATGCAGTGGTGGGGTTTGTCATCAGTATGTGTTTCTGAAACAACTGTGCCCTCTTGATGATATAGTATCTTGTAGATAGAAGCTTCCTTTCAGTGAAAAAGTAACTTTAACTACTGTCTAAGCACTGATAACTATGTTTACATGAATGTTTCTTCTGTGGATTCTCACAACAGTACTCAGTCTTCAGTAGGCAGAGAGTCACAAGGTGTTATTTTGTGGGTTACTGTGACCAGAAGCATTCCACGTTTCTTTTGCAACAGAGTGTAGTTGTGTGCACTGACATGCGTGTACTGGGCGATTACTAGAAGTGGTGGGCAAAACTGATAGCTGGTGTAAGTCAGTTCAGATCTGGTTTTAATGGCCTGATATCATCTACAGCAGCTGTTGTTCAGAGGCTAAAAGGCACTAGTGTAGATATCTCTTCTCTTAGGGAAGTATGCATTAACACACCTCAATTGTTTATCCCTTTCCCTCCTCTCTCTTCTTTTCCAGTGGTGAATATGCTTTGGCAGAATATACCGAAGTGAAAACAGTCACCATTAAACTCTCCGAGAAGAGTCCATGAAAACAGAAGGCCTAAAATGCTGACACTCTGAATGTGACACATGGGGGACGTGTTCAGAGCAAGGGGGAGGGGAGGGGCAGGAAGGGAAATGGAAACACCCAACTTTATTCCTCTAGAAACACTGAATCCACTGGACTCCATTTTGTCAACTGGCTCTTCAAACATTGGTTTAACTGACCCTACTGGCAGCATAGCACACACTTGTACTGTGCGAGTCCCTGGCTGTACATCTGTCTGCTACCTGTGACTAAAATGCTGGTCAGTCACAGTGTTTGCAGGACATCTGCTTTCAGACTGTACCCCTGAAGGACTTGGATGTCAATGGCCTGTTAGAAAGACTTCTGGTACCACGAGCATGGACTGTTAAAACACCTTCAGAGGCATATGGGTTTCACTTGGCATGAACGGATTTGAGTGGCAGAGCTAATACAACTGGACTGAAGTTGGCAGAGCTTGTGTGAAGACCGCAGCTGGAGTTTGGGATGGGAGTGCAAGCTTTTGTGGAAGGATCTGTAAAGAAATTCCCTTTGAAAGAGCTATCTTGGTCTCTCTAAAGATACATGCATTCTCCACATTGGTGATATTCTAGCCCTGAATGAGATTTAGGGGAGTTTCCTAGAGGACTCCTTTGGGGCCGGTATTTCACCCGACAGAGCTAGACTTTAAAGTGTCATTTGAACCTGGTGGTTTGGTGTGCACACACTACACATGCTGCAAACACAAGTTACTGACTTGCTAACCCTTCTGACTCCGAATGAGTCACAGTTGTATCTCAAACCTTCACTACAGCACTTTTCGCAAGAGGATTTTGCACTGTACTTACCGTGATGACTGAGAGTTGAATGCTAAGCGTGTAGCATGGTAGATACCCAACAGAAAACATCCCATGCCAGTCCTTCTGGTCTGGGGGAGGGAGCAGAAGAGCTGCAAGAAGCTGTCCTGCTCTCTCTTTCTCTGTAACTTGCAGGCTGTGTGAACATCTCTTCATTTTTTGAGCCAGAGCTATTATTATGAGAGTAAAACTTATAAGCTCTTCTCACTGCTTCTTTATGCCGTACGAATGTAGCTTGAAATAAATTTCTGGAAGTACAGTAGGAAAAGGCAGGTGCTCCCAAGCACACACTGAGTGCTAAGATGTGGGCGTACAAACCAGTTGCCATGGAATAAGCTATGGTTGGACTTCATTGTGTCAGCAGCTTTGTAGTAATTGTCCTCGTGAGTGCTGTTGTCTTGTGGCAAGCACAGAGTGGCTGATCCTTCACTGAGGAATAAACGGCCTTGAATGGTCTCTTGCTTACACCTGTATAAGCATGCACATACATGAACAGCATCCATGGAGTGGCTGTCACACCAAGTTCATGCCTTAGCATCTCCTGCAGTAACTTCTTTGCATGCCCAGACATTATTACCATGAGATTAATGACAAGCCACATGCTGTCTTCAGTTCCTGGGTTCACTGCTTTCCCTCTTCCTCCTCCCGATTCTGTACTGGAGAACCACTGGCAAACGTAGGAGAAGTACCATGTCTGCAGGAGCTGTAAGTGTGCAGGAGTTAGTGGCATCAGCTTGTTAGGAAGTTTACCTGATCTCTCTGGGATTGTCCTCTTGAGAGCCAAGCAGCAGAGGTTCCGTGTGGCGTACCAACAGATCTCCATAGAGCACTGCTGAAGATTGCTGCCTGGAGTTTTCAAGATGCCAGGGCCTGAAGGAGAAACGCAGGTCTAACCTCTGTTCTGTGATGCAAGCAAGGATTTAACCGGTCCCTTCCTCTGCTCAGACATATGCCCAAGTCAGTAACAAGTTCTGTTGTATGAGTTGACCTTTTTTTGGAGGAGGAAGGAAGGTGGGTGTCGATAAGTAAGGAGAAGGTTTGCATGAGCCTAAACTTCCTTATTAGTTACTGAACGTTGAAATTGCACTTCAACACTGCTTAGCTTCTTAAATGACATACCTCCAACCGTTGCGTATAACTAGCTGCCTGTCCTCCCACGGATACGTGAGACAGGTAAATCTCCCCATCCAGTGAAGAAAATGGCCTCCCTTCCCCATGAAAGGCCAAATGGGAACATTGTAAATAAGTTTCTATTTTTGTAAAACACTTAGAGTGCAAACATCTTCTCAGACAAACATTTTACTTTTGCCTGCTTGAGGTTTTTCTAGGGCTGCAGTCAGACAGTAGGGAGGTAAGGCAAACAGTAAAAGGCTGGTTATCTTGATGTATCTCTGTATTAATTTTTGATAAACAGTGGTTGAAATTGAAATCATCTGAAATTCTTAAAATCCTAGTATTCTGGCTTTATATGTATGATATATATTTCACCTCTTTTTTTTCCCTTATCAAGTTTTAAAAAGTCAATGTATCTCTTATTGTATAAATCAGGGTTTGACTCTACACACTGAATTTTCTAAGTTATGTAACACTAGACACTAACTTTAAAATAACCCCTTAGAGGGTATATATTCTTTCATTGCACAGTAAGGCTTTCATTTAAAATACTACTTTTTTTTTTAAAAAAAAAGAACTATATTTATAAATTAGGATACAGTTAATCTAATGTATTTTTATAGCTAAAGGTACATGAAAATGCTATGTTTAAGCCTCATGTATATATTTAGACTATGGGTATCTTTTTGTAATAGTTCTTGTTCCTAATAAATGTTTAACTTTGTGAAATGATTTCTAAACACTACATATTGATATTGCTCAGAAAGGAAGGAGGGGGAGCAGGAAACTTCTACTGACTTTCGTCATTTAAACAGAGGAGTAACTTGAATGCATTTTTATTTACACTGATGAGCGCTTCAAGATAGTTCCAGCCCCTCTAATGCATGTGTTAAAACCCCTTCCATCAGCAAGCCACTTCCACTCAACTCAGCCCCCCTGTTGCTGTTTTTTATTTCACTCTGAATTTGGCCCATTGTGTCAATAAAAGTAAACACTGGAAAGGGTTATGGTTTCATGCTTCTACAACAAAATGGCCTTGTATTGCTGGAGTTACAGGGGGCTCTTCCAAGAGCAGCATCGTGTCTGTTCTGCTCGATTCAGTGACCCAGCGGTAGTCCCCAAGCGGAAACGTGCACTGGGCTCACAAGAGACGACGTAATGTCGAGGTACCTTTTCCCCGTGGCAGAACTGAACGCAGAGTGCGTGTCTGCGTGGTCTGCGTAGGGATTCAGGATCTCCCGGGGGGGGGGGCTGCGAAGGAATCTCAACTTGGATTCACTTCTGCAATTTGTGAAGAACAGCCTATTTTAAAAAAAGTAAAGTGCCGAAGTGCGGTCAGCGCGCTACACATAAAAGCTGGAGCGTGTGTCTGATAGCTCACCCTTTAAACAGTCACTCTTATACATTGTGCCATTTACAGTAAGCGGAGGGGGAAGGAGAGCAGAGCTGCAGCTGGTGGGGCAAACACAGCTTCCTCCAGTTCACAGAATGACAGAACGTTCGGGGTTGGAAGGGACCTCTGTGGGTCACCCAGCCCAACCCCCTGCCGAAGCAGGGTCACCCACAGCAGGCTGCACAGGACCGCGTCCAGGTGGGTCTTGAATATCTCCAGAGAAGGAGAATCCACAACCTCTCTGGACAACCTGTGCCAGGGCTCCATCACCCTCAGAGGGAAGAAGTTCTTCCTCATGTTCAGCTGGAACTTCCTATGCTTCAGTTTGTGCCCGTTGCCCCTTGTCCTGTCGCTGGGCACCACTGGAAAGAGTCTGGCCCTGTCCTGACACCCACCCTCAAGATATTTATGAGCATTTATAAGGTACCTTCTCAGCCTTCTCTTCTTCAGGCTAAACAAGCCCAGCTCCCTCAGCCTTTCCTCATAGGAGAGATGCTCCAGTCCCCTCATCATTTTTGTAGCCCTAGTTCGGAGTAGGATGGATCCGTTTTGCTTTGAGGTGAGCCTCAAAATGGAGAATTTGAAGGGACTGTGCACCACACTGCCAGGCGGGGCTTTCTGCCTTGGTCTGGCTGCTTCCTAAACCCCTCTGAGACACAGCCATCACTGGTGTGACTGCTAAATGCGGTCCCATTCAGGGCTTATTTCCCTCAGCTGCAATGTAGATGGAGAGAAGAGCGTACTGATGCCATTGTCCGTTAACTCTCTTCCCATCTCATACACGTGTGAGAAACACCGGCTGTCTCCCTATAGAGGTCAGGCCAAACTCCTGGAATTTTCCAGTTGCTAACAGCATCGCTCAGAAGAGTTGAGACTTTCGAAGGGGGAAGACTGGAGATACAAAGGAGTTACTGTGAGTGACAGAATCAATAGAGGCAGGAGCCAAGGAAGAGTGGGATGAATTTTGGGGAAAAAAGAAGAAAAAAAAAATTAGCTTGAATGTGTGGAGAAATTATTGCTAGGGGAAGTCTCTATCAAAAATAAAGGAAAAAAGTTATTTTAGTGGGTTTTCAAACAATTTTGCTGAAAAAGCTGGAAGAAAGGTCTGAGTAAGAGCCAGGCTGTGAGCCGTAAGAGACAGCAGGCTGGGTAGGAGATGGAAAGGGTGCTAAATGGGGAACGCTACTGGGGCTTGCAGCTAAAAGCAGACTAATGGGGACCTGAGCAGAGGTAACAGCACCAATGAAGACCCATTCTCTCTGTGTGTCCATAATCACGTTAGAGAAACACCCTGCGCAAATCTCAAACTGCAGAGCCCGACAGTGACTGGATATGGCTTCTTCCACCCTCCAGCAATCAGCAGAGACTTGTTTCTTAGTACAGGCCAGGGAAGGAAAAAAACCCTGTGTATGCAGTTTATGGAATCATCACAAATAACAGAACGAAAGGCACGTGGAAATGATCTTTTCACAGTAGGTCTATAGGTGGGGAAAATAAACCAGGAGCAGGCTGGTGAGAGGCTCCTGGCACCTGGAGAAGGTGGGGTTTGTGGCGGGGCAAAGCCGTGCGTGACACTGACATGCCAGCCATCGAGCGCCTTCGGAAGGGAGGGGACGATGTCGCTTTGCTTTCCCAAAGAGAGCAAACTCAGGCTGCGATCTGGGGAAGGAGAAGAAACAAACCTCAGCTCTGTCACAGGTAGGGCCAGGAGGAGCGCGGCAGGCGGGAGACGGGCAGCGGGGCTCTGTCGGTGCCTGTGCCCGGGGAGCCGCATGGCAGCCGGCTGCGAGGGCGAGGCCATC